CAAAGATGACCATCATAGTAAATGTAAAAAATAAAAATTAAAACAAGACTAACTTACCAGAGATATTCAACTATATGCCCAATTAATCCATTAAATAATCCAGTGAAATAACATCTCAGCTGATCCTAAAAAAAATCATACAATTCAGTGATACACATTTAACCTCATTTTACAATGTAAGTAAAGCAATAATTTACAGACAAAAGGGATAGAAATGTAAAAGATACCATGTATTTTACCAATCTTTAGTGAATATTTTTCTGATTGAAATTCAATCATAGAATAACCATCATAGAAATAATAAATGCACTCTGAGTTACATGCAGGTTATACAACTGTAAATCACATGAAATGAGGATAAATACAGCATTTCCATTCAAAATAGAACTTTACATATAAATAATAGTTAAATGCAAAGATGACCTTCATAGTAAATGTAAAAATTAAAACAAAACTAACTTACCAGAGATATCCAACCATATGCCCAATAAGCCTATCCATTAAATAATCCAGTGAAATAACATCTCAGCTGATCCTGAACAAATCATACAATTCAGTGATACACATTTAACCTCATTTTACAATGTAAATAAAGCAATAATTGAGAGACAAAAGGCACAGAAATGTAAAAGATACCATGTATTTTATCAAAATTTAGTGAACATTTTTCTGATTTAAATTCAATCATAGAATGACCCATCATAGAAATATTAAATGCACTCTGAGTTACATGCACTGGTTATACAACTGAAAATCACATGAAATGAGGATAAATACAGCATTTACATTCAAAACAGAACTTTACATATAATTATGATTAAATGCAATTATGATCTTCATAGGAAATGTAAACACAAAATTACCTGTGGAATATGTCAGAGAAACGATTTTAAAAATGAACACGGTCTCAACATGCACATGGCAAAAATGCATCAGGATGATTACTTCAGTGGTCATAGAGAAATTGAGCTTTAAACAAGAAAAGCTTGACCGCAGTACTTAAAATCATCATAGTAAAAGAGAGGAAAAACAAAAGATAGTCCTACATTTTCTGAAAATCTAAGTTCACTTCTTAGAAACAAAAGTGAAACTGAAACTTTAATTTTACAAGTGTATGACGTCATAATGCATAGGTAGCTCGCTGACTAGACTGTGTACAAAATCGTACACAGTACGATCAAAAGGTAAGTCTAACATATTTATGCACACGGCCCTAATTTTTTTGCACACGGTCCTTACAGATGATGCAACAGATATAAAAAGATGATGCAACAGGTATAAAAAAAGATGATGCAATAGATATATAAAGATGATGCAATAGATATATAAAGATGATGCAATAGATATATAAAGATGATGCAACAGGTATAAAAAGATGATGCAACAGTAAAGGTATATAAACCAGCGCTGGACATTGAAGTTCATTCTTCGTTAGCATTCTGAATTAGACACAGGTAAAATATGGCAGAGGAAAATACAACAGAGAAAGTAACAGAAACACAGGATCGTATGGACGTAGATGACAGGAGTTTGATGTGCAGTATCTTAAATCAAATGAGCATTATCATGCAGATAATTCATAATGATATGGGTGATTTTAGAAAAGAAGTGATACAAAAGATTCGCCAACTAGGAAGGAAGACAGACCAGTTAGTGAAAGAAGTAGAAAAACTAGAGAAAAAGCCTCAAGAACCCAAGATTTCAGGGACCCACCAGACCAAACCTTTAGTGAAAGAAGGAGACAAAAAAGAGAAAAAGGAAGACAACAGAGAGATTCCAGGCCCCAGTACTACTCACAAGAGGAAACTATCCCTGATGACAGAAAAGGCACAGAAGAAGAAGAAAAAGTAAATTGATGTACATGTATTTTTTCACTTGAATAAAATCTATGTTCTTTTGTTTTGGTCTTGTCTGTTATTTGTTATTGTTTTGAGGAAATCCAGTTTGAAAGATGATGCAATAAGTATTAAAAAGATGATGCAATAAAAAAGATGATGCAATATAAAAAGATGATGCAATAGATATAAAAAGATGATGCAACAAGTATCAAAAAGATGATGCAATAGATATATAAAGATGATGCAATAGATATATAAAGATGATGCAACATAGATATAAAAAGATGATGCAATCAGGATAAAAAGATGATGCAAACATATGTACTGAAAGAAATTGACCCAGAAGAATTGGCTATCCTTATTTGAACCAATTAACACCCTAATGCCCCTCCACTACATGGCACTCCCTTGACATTTTAAAATGTTTATAAAGACAGAAATAAATGATAATGTACGTTCTTATTACCTGGCCAGACTAGGGGTATTGCAGATTTCTTCATTTATCCCATCCCCCCCAGGGGCTGCACTCCCTTGACCCACCTATCCCCAGGATGCGCCCCCAGATATTTACCACAGGCTTTTGGGGCTGCACTCCCTTGTTTGTTTCTAAATTTAAATAATCTTTTTTTTTGTTGTTGTTCATCGTATCATTGAAAAAATGAAATACTTAAAAATGAATTTGTAACGAAAATTTAAACTAATTTATTTTTTAATTATATATCTATCTATTTATTTGATAGTAATTGTAAGGAAGAATTAAAAAAACAAAAACAAAAACAGGATGGTCTTTTATTTGTCACTTAAAGGTAATGGGGGTGGGGTGGGGGGTAATCTAAGTTGCTACAAAAAATTGAATGATCAATAAATAATGATTTGCAATTGGAATGTTTATTTGTTAAATGCACTGCTTGGCCAGAAGAAGACTCAAGCAGACAATTTTTAAAATGTCATTGTATTAAGGGAGAGACCTCTCATGTGCGTGAGCATATGTATCCGATATCTGAGCAGAGGATATGTATTTTACCCCTTTATTTACATGTGTAACAAAAACGGGATTTTTGTAAGACCTTCAACTGATTGCTTGATCATAATCAAAGTACTCAGAAGTACAGAGAGCCGGGCTAATTTACAGAGTAGAATGAATTTCTTACATGAATCACGTTTATATTCTGATGGAAAATTATTTAAAAACTATCAATATAAATGTTAAGACACTGGCAGTGAGTTTTAAATCTTCGTATTAATTTTTTTCACAGTGACGTCACAATTGGTAGACATTATCAACCATCTACACCGTTAAGATTTTTTATGAGTTTCTGGCTTCATGGGATGTGTAAAAATTATAAAAACGAATCTTATATTATTGATTTAAAAAAAGATCTTATATACATATTTAATCTCTTTTTAATTGTCTATATATGATTAATTGTGATAAGACTCTAATCAAATCAATGAACACATTTGTAATAAATGTAAAAATATTGAGCTTATGTTTTTTTTTTGTTTTGTGTGTTTTTTTTTTTTTTTTGGGGGGGGGGGGTGGGGGGGAGGGGGATGGAGGTATTGAAGCAACAGTGTACGAATCATGGAAATCAATCAATATAAATATTTATGTGTAAGTTTTTCAATAAATAATCAATGTAAAAAATTTAATTAATATATAATAAATATTTTTAAAATATACTTACATTGATTCATTCTAAACCTCATGTCGCATATTTCAGTAGCACTCTCAACTTCGGCAATGGCATTTCGGACAGCATCCATAGCTGCTGTTTTGTTTGTTCCAGTGAATCCGACCGTCGCAGAATAAATGATTGAAGGTTGGGTCCAGCTTCCCCAGGGTCGAATTTCCGATTTGTTCAGGAAATGCGCGATGCCAGTTAGAAAAGGAGGAATTAAAAATTCCATCGGTACGCTGTTCGACACTGCAGTATTATGCAACATTTCATTTGTTAATTCATCGAATGGATCATTAATGGTTTCCTTGTAGCAATTTTGAATTCTGTCTCGATGCACAAATGCAGACATCCTTCCACTTCCTTAATTTGTTTTCATGCAATGACGTTAAAGTGAGTAGTTTTTAACGTCGTTGCTATTGTGACGGCGTAAACGTGACGTCAGAGATAAACTTACTATAGCGACGACAAAATGCACGGGAAAATATTTTAATTTGATTTGTGTCAGTTAAGTGATTTTTTATTTAGGGAATATACATGTAGACTTTTATTATGGATTTGAATGACTTATTGAAACCAGTTAGAAAAATCGAAGACATACTGAAGATTTTGGAATACATCAAAATTCTGCCACCGGGAATACCTCAAAGATATGAACATATTCGAAATGTTTTTAATTTAAACAAGTTTGGCTTTCCAGAAAGCCTTAAATGTCATCTCTTTGGTATCAATAATGTCAAAGAAATAAAACAGAAAGGGAAATATTTAAATGCAATGAATATATGGATTATTACACCTGAAGTTCCCAAATGACTTATTCAGCAAACTCCACAGTAAAGTACACAGTTTCTTTTGGCCGCAGTATATATATATGGAAAGCATGGACGTCTGCGAGAGCACCCAAGGCGATTTTTGGTGAAATTTCATTCTAGCGGTCTTTGTGCTTCTGGGTGTTTACAATTTACTTAAATTCAAATACTTTCCTTGAACTATATTTTCTTAACACAATACGGAATTATCAACAATAATTATCATTCATTTAAAAACAGCTAATCATTAAAGTTTGACAGGAATTAATTTAATAAATCCCATTACAGACTAAAAATATTAACATAAAATTAGTGTTGACCACTCTTCGTTCACTTTTTGCAGAATCTAATTGTAAGCTTGTTCATTTGTGCGAGAACCAGTTTTTCCTTCGTGTCAACAAATCTATATACATGTATAGAAATCACGCCATTGTCAATTCTCCTTGTGTGGTTTACCAATTTAATAATGTATTAATGTATTGAGGATCAATATATATACGACACCGAAACTATAGATATTTATAAGCATCGTACTTCTTTTCTAAATTTTCCTTGGCTTTCAAATAACCTAAACCGAAAGTAGATCACACACTCCTAAGCTAGTTCTTCTAAAAGAAAACCAGTTTACAGGGTACTTGGAACTCTGTAAAACATCGAGGACTCCCGAAAGATTAATGGAGGCTTACACTAGGACTTCACTTCCGGCATACAATCTTAATGTGTCATCTCCCGAGGGAGATGACAATAACCGGGGATCAGATGCTGTGATTTTGTCTCTATCAGACGTGGCGGCATTGGTACAAACCTTAGAAGTTATACTGCCGCGATTTCAAGATAATCCTTTGAATGTGAGTCCTGAATTGGTACAGAAGGATTTTGAATATTATATTTCCAAGGGAATATCAGAAGTTGGAACGGTGAATATTATTCCGCCTGTGACCACATGCTGTGGTCAATTAAAGAAGGTTGGACAAAAAGTTTGCAATGTATTTCGATCCAGATTTAAACCAGCGGTTGCAGTTATGTACGAATTGAAATGCAGCAAATGCAACACTGTGTATAAATGCAGTACCTACAAGAAGAAAAGTATTGAGCTTTACTACTCTGATGTTTTAGAGCAAGAATATTTTGCGTCCACATGCGACTCGGTATTTTCCATGGAATTACTAAGGAAGGTTGATATTGACTTGTAAGTATGAGAATTTAAATAATTTTGGAAAAAATGTGTGTAATGTATAGGTTACATGCATTATCGATCCCCTATAAATATGAATACAAATTACTGTAGATTGAAACATATTTAGGCAATTAAAAAAATCAGTATCAATAATTTTCCATACTCAAATTAAAATACGGCTTTTTTAACATTTATAATTCATAAAATGGCTTTGGATAAATAAAATTTAACTGATACTGAATAGTGATTTTAGATACAGGAAATCAGCTTCATTTGAAGGAATTGCCTATGCCTATAACGACGAACACTTGGGGTCAGAATGGATGAATTTAGATAAAAATACTGAAGTAATGGATAGAAGACGCCTGAGCGAGGCATGGTACAAGAAAACCTTTTTAGAGATAAAGGGAAATTATGGGATGCAACAAAATATCGAGTATATTTCATCCGGCAAACTGGAAGACGTGCTTGAATCTGAAATGAATGGCCTATGGAGGACATTTTCCATTAAATGGTCTTCATCCTTCCATACCGACAATTGCAAACACGAAGGTAAGTGCACTATTTTTTAATCAAATAAAACTAGTCTCAAAAAACTTAATTTAACAAATTTAACTACTCCCATAGATGCAGATAAAAATTAAACATTACCATTACGTTTTCACTGCTACATGTATGTCTATAAATATGCATTAATTATTAATAAAGAGTGGTGTGCGAGACTAACATAATTTATTAATATAGAGTGATGTGCGAGACTAACATTAATAAGTATCGAGTGGTGTGTGAGACTAACCCTATTTAGTAAAGAGTGATATTATAAGTATATAGTGGTGTGTGAGGCTAACCCTAATTAGTATCGAGTGGTGTGCGAGACTAATCCTAATTAGTATCGAGTGGTGTGCGAGACTAATCCTAATTAGTATCGATGGTGTGCGAGACTAACCCTAATTAGCATAGATTGGTGTACGAGACTAACATTAATTAGTATCGATGGTGTGCGAGACTAAACCTAAACAGCATAGATTGGTGTACGAGACTAACATTAATTAGTATCGAGTGGTGTGCGAGACTAACCCTAATTAGCATAGATTGGTGTATGAGACTAACATTAATTAGTATCTAGTGGTGTGCGAGACTAACCCTAATTAGAATAGAGTGGTGTACGAGACTAACATTAATTAGTATCGAGTGGTGTGCGAGATTAACCCTAATTAATAAAGAGTGGTGTGCGAGACTAACCCTAATTAGTAAAGAGTGGTGTGCGAGACTAACCCTAATTAGTAAAGAGTGGTGTGTGGGGCTAACCCTAATTAGTAGCGAGTGGTGTGCGAGACTAACCCAATTTGTAAAGAGTGGTGTGCGAGACTAACATTAATTAGTAAAGAGTGGTGTGCGAGACTAACCCTAATTTGTAAAGAGTGGTGTGCGAGACTAACATTAATTAGTAAAGAGTGGTGTGCGAGACTAACCCTAATTAGTAGCGAGTGGTGTGTGAGACTAACCCTAATTTTTAAACAGTGGTGTGCGAGACCAACCCTAATTAGTAAACAGTGATGTGAAAGACTAACATTAATTAGTATCGAGTGGTGTGCGAGGCTTACACTAATAAGTATAGAGTTGTGTGAGAAACTAAACCTAGTTAGTAGAGAGAGTTGTGTGTAAGTCTAGAGTGGTGAACAAGACTAACCGAATTAGTAGAGTGTTGTGCGAAACTTAGAATCCAATCTAATAGAATTATGTGCAAGATATACTTTATATAGTGCTATGGTGTACAAGACTTACCCATTTTTAATAGAATAATGTGAGACCAACCCAACTTACAGCAGTGATGTGCGAAACTAACCCGAATTATACTATAGGGTGTGGTCCAACACTAATACAAATAAGATGATTAGTGTGTGGGACTAACGTTTATTACAAGAGTTGTATGCGAGCTTACCTTTCATAGAGTAGAGAGGTTTGCGAAGCAAACCATTAATAAGCAGAGTGCATGGTAATATCTTGACACGTATTTACAACCATAGTGTTGTTAGTAAGAGGGAAGTTTGATTACATTAAATGTATACGTTATATTATTTTTTGTAGAATGCTGCAAAGCAATTGTTATAGACGGGCATATGAAAGGAACACGTTCAGTGTGCGCGGCTACGCATGTAAGAACGACAGAATCCGAAGAGCTTGGTAGCATTTCCATGGGTTGCTGGAAAATGCCAGTGAAAGGATCACTATTTTGTGCTGCTCATAAGAATGCCAAGAAACCGGAAAAGGTAATCATGAAAAAAAAAATACATATTTTTGTAGAAAGTAAATAACGGACATATTATCACATTGAAATAAGCTTGCATGCAGTAGTGGGTAATTTAAATGAAAAAAGTGACATTTTCCTTTTTATTGTTAATTACAAATCATTTGGAATTTAAAAATCAGAAATGAAAAAGAAGAATGGAAATGTGGTTATACATTGGTTTTTTTCAATTTCTGGAGAAAATATATTTCATATACATGTACACTGTTAATGTTACAATTGTACATGTATAAAGTAGTTCAAAGTAAGGATATCATACTTTTAATAAATACAAAAAATTTTTGTTTGGAATATTTTTCATGTCAATTTTTGCAAGTTTCGCAAATTGTAAATGTATAATTTTAAGTATTGTGAATGAAATTAATTTACGACACTTATAAATGTAACATAGTAATAAATACATATTAAAACTTCACAGAATGAGGCAACGGCTCGAGGTCAGACAAGATTATTCGGAATGTAAAACCCTTAAAGAGAAAGGCCATCTTCAAAAGTATAAAAGTGCAGGAGTGTGTGCGTCAGTCTATAACTGCGGCATTATAAATGGCATAAGAGAGTTGTACGGTTGTGAATCTCTTACTCAGGTGTACATTTTTTTGGTATGGTTGGTAAAGGTGTTAGTTTCCCAAATCTTCTTGCATACCACGATGCCTGTCACTTAAAAAAATTCATTATGAATCCCATCAGAGCAGAAAAAACCGAATATTCAATATTTTTGAAGAACTTGAGAATTGTAGTGGATAAAATGCATTTTGTAAATCAAGTTGATAAATGGTGCAGGAGAAATGTTAATCCATACACAGATGATTTATTTAAAAACATTAATACTGAAGCATGTGAACAAACATTTCAATTTATTGCGAAATTTAAGTGCGCAACCAAACATATGTCCTATGGTAAGTACAATTTATTCATGCTTAAAATATCAGAAATGTACAATATGGATAGACTTGTTAGAAACAGGAAAAAAGTAAAATTTCCAGTACATGTGTGAATTGAATGAGGAAATGGAGTTATTAAACATCATTTATCATTAATGAAATTTACCTAGCTATAAATGTTTTATATGACTTTGAAGCTTATTAGATAAGCTAATTTATGCGCTCCTATCACTTTTTTATGTACATGTAGTACTTATGACAATATGTTTATAATTATGTATGTGAGATAATATATTAGTCATGTGATAAGCAAATGACAAGTAGGACAAATATATCTGAGTATGAAAATATGAGTAGGTCTTTGTGATAAGTTAATGTTACCAATAAATATACATTGTATTTTTGGAATATATAAGAAAATAAAATGTTCATGTATTCTCAATATCATATAAACTTTTATTACAATGCTAAGTTGACTTTGTAAAAATAATAATTTAAACGGTGTGAACGCAATATCATAAACATGTTGTTTACATTACGATGTTGACGATGTAGACATACAATATTATAGAAATAATAATGATGTAGACGATGTTGCATTTAAACACTGTCTGTAATGCATTGTGAACAATGTTTACATCAATGCAGAAACAATACCAATGTCAACAATGTAAACGCGAAATAGTTACAACATTAATTACATTGCGTTATTGATATACAATGTAGAAATAATAACAATGTAGACGATGTAAAAGCGATATCGCATCAACATTGTTTACATTGCGATGTCGACGATGTCGTCATGTAGAAATAATAACAATGTAGACGATGTAAACGCGATATCGTATCAACGTTGTCAACATTGCGATGTCGACGTTGACGATGTCGTCATGTAGAAACAATTACAATGTAGACGATATAAACACGATATCGTATCAACATTGTTAACATTGCGATGTCGACGTTGACGTTGTCGTCATTTAGAAACAATTACAATGTAGACGATGTAAACACGATATCGTAACAACATTGTTTACATTGCGATGTCGCCATGTAGAAACAATAACAATGTAGACGATGTAAACACGATATCGTATCGACATTGTTTACATTGCGATAATTGATAAAGTGAACTGGACATGAATGTTTGGTCTCATTAGAAAATGCCGCTAAATGATCATATATTCTTCTTTTCAATTTTTTTTTTTAAATTAGATAAATGAGATATCAATTAAACACGATGTCTGAACATCGTAGAACACACATTACCTAGTCTTAAATTTAGATCTTTAGTACGCTTTATAATTTTTTACCTGCCACAAGCATTTTTTTATCTTCAAACTTTCAAGGAATAAAAAGTTCTTATTTGAAAGCGATTCACACTTACCAACCCATGCATTTTGTTCCGGGACCAAAACCATTTTTATAATCCGCCCAGTTCCTGTCAAAGATCACGGTTCCGTCTACGCGTTTCCGAATAGCCTTTGAAAATTACCATGCATAGCAATTCAATTTATTGCTTCGAACAATCATTTATTCTGATATATTTACATTTGCAAATATTTTCTTTTATATAACACTACTGAAAGGAATGCGTATCTATAGCTGTATGAATACAGGTACGGGATCAAGAGGTCATACACATGTAGATGTGCGTATGGATAAAGGTTTCATGTAATTTTACTGTGACGTCGTAAAGGGTCTACGCGCATTCAGTGGATTACATACATGTCGTTGGGTTGGAAGAATGACGCATTTGACACGTTTAAAGTCACAATCAGGCAAATATAAAGTATGGATAAGTCACAAATGTAAATATAAGTAATAAGGTATCATTTTAAAACATCTATCGGGCTATAATTACGGGTCGGTACGAGATTAAATTCATCATAAAGCCCTTCAGGCTTTATAGAATTTAATCTCGTGACCAATCCGTATTTATATTCCCATAGATGTTGAAAGATGATATCTTATTTCTAAAGTATACACTTATGGGAATCGTTAATGCATTGTAGGGGTATATATCACACACCCTGTAGTAGTCCTTCTTCACAAAGTTCGTTACAATTTTTAGGCATGGCAGAAGAAACAAAATCTAAAAAAAAAAAAAAACACCGGGGTCATATTATGTAAATGTACAAGAGGTGAGAGGATATATAATGCGTAATATGTTAAACTGTTCTTCATTATCTAAAAATCGTTGTTTAGGTAAACAAAAAAATTTACTCCTTTGTGTTAAATGGAACAGCGTAATTGAGACATGGTGACCAAATTCGTTTCTCTATAGAAAAAACGATTAGCCGTATTTTAGAGATCTTAATTGAATAGTAATAAAGTTCTTGTTGTCATGAATGATGCAGGTTAGCCTCATCAGTCTCGAAATGTTGTTTGAAATATAAAAGCTCCGGCTTACGCATCGTCTTTTATCTTTCATTTCTCGACCTCGGAGGTTATCCTGCAAATTTCACGAAAATGCGGACTTTATTTCTTAAGAAACTAACAATCTATATACATTTTATGTGAGGTACTGACCAATATCTGCAGTATAGCTACATTTTCATATAACATGTATGTACGTACCTGCTTAAATTTGGATGTCACAGTAACTGTTTTTAGAATGGCACGTTATATAAAGGAATGTGGTTTACTTTAACGTATCATTCCGTAACTCAAAAAATAATGAATGAAGTTGTGTTCCCACCAACACATTTATCTTCTGCAACTGGACAAAGAGTGCTGCTTTATGGTACACGCTATAAGTGTACAGATAACTTAATCTATTACTTACTTGTGACACACGCTATAAGTGTACAGATAACCTACATCTATTACTTACCCGTGACACATACTATAAGTGTACAGATAACCTACATCCATTACTTGCTTGTGACACACGCTATAAGTGTACAGATAACCTACATCTATTACTTACTTGTGACACACACTATAAGTGTACAGATAACCTACATCTATTACTTACTTGTGACACACGCTATAAGTGTACAGATAACCTACATCTATTACTTACTTGTGACACACACTATAAGTGTACAGATAACCTACATCTATTACTTACTTGTGACACATGCTTTAAGTGTACAGATATCCTAAATCTATTACTTACTTGTGACACACGCTATAAGTGTACAGATAACCTACATCTATTACTTACTTGTGACACACGCTATAACTGTACAGATAACCTACATCTATTACTTGTGACACACGCTATAAGTGTACAGATAACTTACATCTATTACTTACTTGTGACACACGCTATAAGTGTACAGATAACTTACATCTATTATTTACTTGTGACACACGCTATAAGTGTACAGATAACTTACATCTATTACTTGTGACACACGCTATAAGTGTACAGATAACCTACATCTATTATTTACTTGTGACACACGCTATAAGTGTACAGATAACTTACATCTATTACTTGTGACACACGCTATAAGTGTACAGATAACCTACATCTATTACTTACTTGTGACACACGCTATAAGTGTACAGATAACCTATATCTATTACTTGTGACGCACGCTATAAGTGTACAGATAACCTACATCTATTACTTGTGACACACGCTATAAGTGTACAGATAACCTACATCTATTACTTACTTGTGACACACGCTATACCTCTGAGTCTGACATAACTGGTTCTTATTTGATCAATTTTTCATGCACGAAAAAAAATCTTTATGAACCAATATATTTTTCTCAAACAACAAAAATTTGAGCCCTAGGAAATATGTGATTTGACGGTAATTGTTCGACCATTATTTTCATGTGGAATTGCTTGTAGTTATTTAAATGAAGTTGAGCTTGAACAAGAGTTAGTTATCTCCATATTTAGTACAATTTCTACGAATTGACCAGTTAATACTCATTTTGTAATTATTTAAT